CACTTCCCCATGGAGATAAGAGGAAATAAAGAAGAACAAGTACTAGAAAGAAAATAGAAGAAAACCTAGAGGGGTATGTATATATACGCTTGTACATGTATGTGTAGTGTGACCTGAGTGTAAGTAGAAGTAGCAAGATGTACCTGAAATTGTGCATGTTCATGAGACAGAAAAAAGGACACCAGCAATCCTACCATCATGTAAAACAATTACAGGCTTTCGTTTTACACTTACTTGTCTACCAACCTACTACCTAGAATATATATATATATATATATATATATATATATATATATATATATATATATATATATATATATATATATATATATATAATTGTACCCACGGAACAAGTGGTAGTGAACAATAACAACACTGCACTAGCCAAGGAGTCGAACCCATGCTATTTTGGCCCTCCTCATGGTGAGACAAAACACATGACGCTTTACACCACTAGACCACGCAGTCCTTAACAATGGTGCATCCAGCCAAGCTAGATGTTGTACCCACCATCGAAGGACATACGGTGGTGTGGACGCCTCTGAGCTAATTTCATTCTATTCCCTGTTTGTGTACTACCTGAACAAGCAGTATATTATATTATTATACCCACGGAACGAGTGGTATTGATCAATAACAACACTGCTATTTAACCCAAAAATAGCAAGTTTTACTTATTCGGCACGACATACTTTTTTAATTATTAACACATCGGCCGTTTCCCACCAAGGTAGTGTGACCCAAAAATGTAAAACTTTCATCATTCACTCCACCACTGTCTTGCCAAAGGCGTCCTTACACTACAGTTATAAAACTGCAACATTAACATCCCTCCTTCAGAGTGCAGATACTGTACTTCCCATCTCCAGGACTCAAGTCCGGGCTGCCGGTTTCCTTGAATCCCTTCGGAGTGTGGAAATTAGGAGAAGGTGTGGAGTTAATAAAAGCATTAGTCAGAGGGCAGAAGAGGGGTTGTTGAGGTGGTTTGGTCATTTAGAGAGAATGGATCAAACTAGAATGACATGGAAAGCATATAAATCTATAGGGGAAGGAAAGAGGGGGTAAAGGAGGTTTTGTGGGCGAGGGGCTTGGACTTCCAGCAAGCGTGCATGAGCGTGTTAGATAGTAGTGAATGGAGACGAATGATACTTGGGACCTGACGATCTGTTGGAGTGTGAGCAGGGTAATATTTAGTGAAGGGATTCAGGGAAACCGGTTATTTTCTTATAGTCGGACTTGAGTCCTGGAAATGGGAAGTACAATGCCTGCACTTTAAAGGAGGGGTTCGGGATATTGGCAGTTTGGAGGGATATGCTGTGTATCTTTATACGTATATGCTTCTAAACTATTGCATTCTGAGCACCTCTGCAAAAGCAGTGATAATGTGTGAGTGTGGTGAAAGTGTTGAATGATGATGAAAGTATTTTCTTTTTGGGGATTTTCTTTCTTTCTTGGGTCACCCTGCCTCGGTGGGAGACGGCCGACTTGTTGAAAAAAAAAAAAAAAATATATATATATATATATATATATATATATATATAATATATATATATTATATATATATATATATATATATATATATATGTATATATATATATATATATATATATATATATTATATATATATATATATATATATATATATATATATATATATATATTATATATATATATATATATATATATTGAAATATAATTCTTAAAATTTTCACATGAGGTTAGGTAAAGTTTGTCAGAAAACAGGTTAAATGTTTTATGCCGCGGGATTTAGTCATATGATGACCCGCCACTGGAGCTTCGGGTTATCTGACCGAAACCTTCTACTGGCTTACCAATCCACACTTGTAAAAATTATTGTCATAGTTATAACCATTTAAGTAATAAAAATTATCGTGCTTTATTTTACAAGACATAGAATTTTGCTTCTTTTGTTCAAGACAAATAATTTTTTATGTTAATTTTAATTAATCCTTAAAATTTGGTAATAATTTTATTCACATTCTAACTCAGTTTCATTAGAAATTTTGTAACTTAAAATGTAATATACTAAATATGAAAAAGTAGTATAAATGTAATAGTTAAAGGGTTAAACCCGTTGGGGTCACAAACAGCCTCAGAATGGGAGGATAATTAGATTATGATAAAAGGTAAAGAATGGTAGCTCCAGTTCCTGGGATCAAAACACCTTCACCAGCATCAACGCATCATCCACATCATGAGTGAAAAAAGTATTACACTTATGAGTAACATTAGATAAACTGTTGTAGTTTTATGTTGATAGTTTAACATTGTTTATCTTATGCCAGGCAGTAAGGTGACCTTGATGATGATGATGGTGACGATGATGATGATGATGATGATGATGATGATGATGATGATGATGATGATGATCATGATGATCATGATGATGATGATGATGATGATGATGGTGATGATGATGATGATGATGATGATGGTGACGATGATGATGGTGATGGTGACGATGATGATGATGATGGTGACGATGATGATGATGATGGTGACGATGATGATGATGATGGTGATGATGATGATGATGATGGTGACGATGATGATGATGGTGAGATTGAGACCATGTCCAGCCCTTCTAGGACAGGGCCAGAGCTTACAGCTCACAAGACTGTCATTCCCATTAGCCCCCTTGGAGCGGGGATGACAGACCAGAGAGGCCTAGCTTCTCCTTACGAGCCATATGAGGGAGGGGAATATGGCTAGGCCTAGGGACAGTTGGTCCCAACAATGAGGAAGTTCTTGTGCCTCCTCCCATGGTAGACATAGGTCTCGGACACTCCCCAGACAGGGAGCCAAGGCCGGGCCACCACTTGGAAAAGGCCCGGGCCGGGAGAATACCGGTGAATCCACAAGAAGATGAAGGTGACGATGATGATGATGATGATGAAGGTGACCTTGATGATGATGGTGACGATGATGATGATGGTGTCAATGATGATGATGAAGGTGACCTTGATGATGATGGTGACGACGATGATGATGATGAAGGTGGCGATGATGATGATGCAGGTGACGATGATGGTACTGACGATGATGACGATGAAGGTGACGATGGTGATGAAGGTGACGATGATGATTATGAAGGTGACGATGATGATGAAGGTGACGATTATGATGATGATGGTGACGATGATGATGAAGATGACGATGATGATGATGGTGACGATAATAATGATGAAGGTGACGATGATGATGATAATGACGATGATGATGATGAAGGTGACGATCATGATGATGAAGGTGACGATGATAATGATGGTGACGATGATAATGATGGTGACGATGATGATACTGAAGGAGACGATGATGATAATGAAGGTGACGATAATGATGACGAATGTGATGATGAAGGTGACGATGATGATACTGAAGGGGACGATTATGATAGTGAAGGTGACGATGATGATGACGGATGTGATGATGAAGGTGATGATGATGAAAGTGTCGATGATGATCATGATAAAGGTGAAGATGATGGTGAAAATGATGATGATGATGGAAGTGAGAATGATGATGATGAAGGTGACGGTAATGATGAAGAAAGTGACGATGATAATGATGGTGATGGTGATGATGAAGTTGACGATGATGATAATGAAAGTGACTATAATGATGAAGAAAGTGACGATGATGATGATGATGATGAAGGTGACGATGATGATAATGATGAAGGTGACAATAATGATGAAGGTGACAATGGTGATGAATGTGATGATGATGATGATGATGAAGGTGACAATGATGATGAAGGTAACCATGATGATGATAGATGTGACAATGATGATGGTGACGACAATGATGATGATGATGATGAAGGTGACGATGATGATGATGGTGACGATGATGATGGTGACGATGATGATGAAGGTGACGATGATGATGATGATGGTGACGATGAAGATGATGATGGTGAATGTGACGATGATGATGGTGACAATGATGATGATCATGAAGGTGAGAATGATGATCATGAAGGTGACGATGATGAAGGTGATGATGATGATGGGGGTAACAATAATGATGATGGTGACGATGATGATGATGGTGACGATGATGATGAAGAAGAAGGCTATGCTAAAGGAGAAGAATGTGATGATGAAGAAGACGCTGAAGAACATGCTGAACAAGGTGATGATGAAGAAGAAAGTGGTGCTGAAGAAGAAGAAGAAGAAGAAGAAGAAGAAGAAGAAGAAGAAGAAGGTGATGCTGAAGGTGATGCTGAAGAAGGTGATGCTGAAGAAGAAAGTGATGAAGAAGAAGGTGATGCTGAAGAAGAAGGTGATGCTGAAGAAGAACAAGAAGGTGATGCTGAAGAAGAAGGTGATGCTGAAGAAGAAGGTGATGCTGAAGAAGAAGGTGATGCTGAAGTAGAAGGTGATGCTAAAGAAGAAGAAGGTGATGCTGAAGAAGAAGAAGAAGAAGAAGAAGAAGGTTATGCTGAAGAAGAAGAAGGTGATGCTGAAGAAGAAGAAGAAGGTGATGCTGAAGAAGAAGAAGAAGGTGATGCTGAAGAAGAAGAAGAAGGTGATGCTGAAGAAGAAGAAGAAGGTGATGCTGAAGAAGAAGAAGAAGGTGATGCTGAAGAAGAAGAAGAAGAAGGTGATGCTGAAGAAGAAGAAGAAGAAGAAGGTGATGCTGAAGAAGAAGAAGAAGGTGATGCTGAAGAAGAAGAAGAAGGTGATGCTGAAGAAGAAGGTGATGCTGAAGAAGAAGAAGAAGGTGATGCTGAAGAAGAAGGTGATGTTGAAGAAGAAAGAAGAAGGTGATGCTGAGAAGAAGGAAGGTGATGCTGAAGAAGAAGAAGAAGAAGGTGATGCTGAAGAAGAAGAAGAAGGTGATGCTGAAGAAGAAGGTGATGCTGAAGAAGAAGAAGAAGGTGATGCTGAAGAAGAAGAAGAAGGTGATGCTGAAGAAGAAGAAGAAGGTGATGCTGAAGAAGAAGAAGAAGAAGGTGATGCTGAAGAAGAAGAAGAAGGTGATGCTGAAGAAGAAGAAGAAGGTGATGCTAAAGAAGAAGAAGAAGAAGGTGATGCTGAAGAAGAAGGTGATGCTGAAGAAGAAGAAGGTGATGCTGAAGAAGAAGGTGATGCTGAAGAAGAAGGTGATGCTGAAGAAGAAGGTGATGCTAAAGAAGAAGAAGAAGAAGGTGATGCTGAAGAAGAAGGTGATGTTGAAGAAGGTGATGCTGAAGAAGAAGAAGGTGATGCAGAAGAAGAAGAAGAAGGTGATGCTGAAGAAGAAGGTGATGCTGAAGAAGGTGATGCTGAAGAAGAAGGTGATGCTGAAGAAGAAGGTGATGCTGAAGAAGAAGGTGATGCTGAAGAAGAAGAAGAAGGTGATGCTGAAGAAGGTGATTCTGAAGAAGAAGGTGATGCTGAAGAAGAAGAAGGTGATGCTGAAGAAGAAGAAGAAAGAAGGTGATGCTGAAGAAAAAGGTGATGCTGAAGAAGAAGAAGGTGATGCTGAAGAAGAAGAAGAAGAAGGTGATGCTGAAGAAGAAGAAGAAGGTGATGCTGAAGAAGAAGGTGATGCTAAAGAAGAAGAAGAAGGTGATGCTGAAGAAGAAGAAGAAGGTGATGCTGAAGAAGAAGAAGAAGAAGGTGATGCTGAAGAAGAAGAAGAAGAAGGTGATGCTGAAGAAGAAGAAGAAGGTGATGCTGAAGAAGAAGAAGAAGAAGGTGATGCTGAAGAAGAAGAAGAAGGTGATGCTGAAGAAGAAGAAGAAGAAGGTGATGCTGAAGAAGAAGAAGAAGGTGATGCTGAAGAAGAAGAAGAAGGTGATGCTGAAGAAGAAGAAGAAGAAGGTGATGCTGAAGAAGAAGAAGAAGAAGGTGATGCTGAAGAAGAAGAAGAAGGTGATGCTGAAGAAGAAGAAGAAGAAGAAGGTGATGCTGAAGAAGAAGAAGAAGAAGGTGATGCTGAAGAAGAAGAAGAAGGTGATGCTGAAGAAGAAGAAGAAGAAGGTGATGCTGAAGAAGAAGAAGAAGGTGATGCTGAAGAAGAAGGTGATGCTAAAGAAGAAGAAGAAGAAGATGATGCTGAAGAAGAAGAAGGTGATGCTGAAGAAGAAGGTGATGTTGAAGAAGAAGGTGATGCTGAAGAAGGTGATGTTGAAGAAGAAGGTGATGCTGAAGAAGAAGGTGATGCTGAAGAAGAAGAAGGTGATGCTGAAGAAGAAGAAGGTGATGCTGAAGAAGAAGGTGATGCTGAAGAAGAAGGTGATGCTGAAGAAGAAGGTGATGCTGAAGAAGAAGAAGGTGATGCTGAAGAAGAAGGTGATGTTGAAGAAGAAGGTGATGCTGAAGAAGGTGATGTTGAAGAAGAAGGTGATGCTGAAGAAGAAGGTGATGCTGAAGAAGAAGAAGGTGATGCTGAAGAAGAAGAAGGTGATGCTGAAGAAGAAGGTGATGCTGAAGAAGAAGGTGATGCTGAAGAAGAAGGTGATGCTGAAGAAGAAGGTGATGCTGAAGAAGAAGAAAGTGATGCTGAAGAAGAAGAAGAAGAAGAAGGTGATGCTGAAGAGGAAGGTGATGCTGAAGAAGAAGAAGGTGATGCTGAAGAAGAAGAAGGTGATGCTGAAGAAGAAGAAGGTGATGCTGAAGAAGAAGAAGGTGATGCTGAAGAAGAAGAAGGTGATGCTGAAGAAGAAGGTGATGCTGAAGAAGAAGGTGATGCTGTAGAAGAAGGTGATGAAGAAGAAGGTGATGCTGAAGAAGGTGATGCTCAAGAAGAAGAAGGTGATGCTGAAGAGGAAGAAGAAGGTGATGCTCAAGAAGAAGGTGATGAAGAAGAAGAAGAAGAAGAAGGTGATGCTGAAGAAGAAGGTGATGCTGAAGAAGAAGGTGATGCTGAAGAAGAAGAAAGTGATGCTGAAGAAGAAGAAGAAGAAGGTGATGCTGAAGAAGAAGAAGAAGGTGATGCTGAAGAAGAATAAGGTGATGCTGAAGAAGAAGAAGGTGATGCTGAAGAAGAAGGTGATGCTGTAGAAGAAGGTGATGAAGAAGAAGGTGATGCTGAAGAAGGTGATGCTCAAGAAGAAGAAGGTGATGCTGAAGAGGAAGAAGAAGAAGGTGATGCTGAAGAAGATGACGAAGGTGATGCTGAAAAGAAGACGAAGGTGATGCTGAAGAAGAAGACGAAGGTGTTGCTGAAGAAGACGAAGGTGATGCTGAAGAAGAAGGTGATGCTGGAGAAGAAGAAGGAGGTAATGATGAAGAAGGTGATGATAAAGAAGAAGAAGAAGAAGAAGAAGAAGAAGAAGAAGAAGAAGAAGAAGAAGAAGAAGGAGGAGGAGGAGAAGAAGAAATAGGAGGAGGAGGAGGAGGAGGAGGAGGAGGTGATGCTGAATACGAAGAAGAGGAACGATGGTGATGCTGAATACGAAGAAGAGGAACGATGGTGATGCTGAATACGAAGAAGAGGAACGATGGTGATGCTGAAGACGAAGAAGAGGAACGATGGTGATGCTGAAGAAGGTGATTAAGAAGAAAAAGAAAAAGAAATATCCAGGGGGGTTGCAACACATCATCAGCACCAATGTAGCTTATTGTCTCCTCCTCCTCCTCCTCCCCCTCCCCCTCCCCCTTCTCCTCCTCTTCCTCCCCCTTTCCTCTTCTCCTCTCCTCCCCCTTCTCCTATTCCTCTTCCTCCTTCCCCTCCTCCACCTCCTTTCCCTTTTCTTATTCCTCCTCCTCCTCCTGCTTAACACAATCCTCCCTAATAGAGCTAAGTGGTTCAGATATGTTCATGATATTTTGTGTCTTATGCTTAAGAATGTAGATATAAACAATTTCCTTGTTAAATTAAATAACAAAAAGGCACAATACCGTGACTGGAACGATACACAAATAACCCGCTTCTGTCTTTTATGTGCGGGTTATTTGTGTATCCTTGTTAAATTAAATAGCTTAGCACATTCTATAGTTCGAATATGTTGGTTCTCCCTTACCATGAAAACTTGGTTGATATGCCTTCTCTTCTTAAGACTTTTAATATCAAAGTTGTATTTAAAAATCTTCATGCAGTAAAAAATACTTTTGATAAAGAATTCCCCCCAAAATGCTGACGGATGTGTTTATAAGATTCCTTGTAAAATATGTGATAAAGTTTATTACGGTCAAACTGGTAAAATTCTCGAACTAAGATTAAAACAACATAAATATAGCATTAGAACTGGACAAGATTCTAATGCTCTATTTATTCATGTGAGAGATTTTAACCATCAAATTGATTGTCAAAAGTTTGAGAAATTTGTATCAAGCAAGTCCATGGTCGACAGGAATATAATAGAATCATGTTTCGTAAAAGCAGTTTTGAAAATAATATGGATATTTCTTATAGTTTATATAAATTGGATTTATTTATAATTAATAAAATTTGGGATGAATTTAATGATACATTGGACAAGTAAAAAATCAGGTGTGTTTCACAGAGTCGGGTGTTCTCATGCGACTGTGAGGTATAGTCTTCTTGTGGTGACGTGATTGTGAGGTGTAATCTTGTTGTGGTGACGTGATTGTGAGGTGTAGACTTGACCCTTTATATGCCTTCCTGTTGATGTTTTGTTGTTTAAAGTTCCTTGATAATGTGAGAAGTTACAAAAGTGCTAGAAATTTCGCTATTTTTTCACAGTGGTTGTTTTGCATATTGTGTTATCACTTGCTTACTGTGATCTTATTGCATTTATATATTTTTATTATTTATTAACATATCGGCCGATTCCCAACAAGGCAGGGTGGCCCGAAAAAGAAAAACTTTCATCATTCACTCCATCACTGTCTTGCCAGAGGCGTACTTACACTACAGTTAATAAAACTGCAACATTAACACCCCTCCTTCAGAGTGCAGACACTGTACTTCCCATCTCCAGGACTCAAGTCCGGCATGCCGGTTTCCCTGAATCCCTTCATAAATGTTACTTTGTTCATACTCCAACAGCACGTCAAGTATTGAAAACCATTTGTCTCCATTTACTTCTATCAAATACGCTCACGCATTTTTGCTGGAAGTTCAAGCCCCTTGCACACTAAACCTCCTTTACCCCCTCCCTCCAACCTTTCCTAGGCCGATCCCTACACCGCCTTCCCTCCACTATAGATTTATACACTGTCGAAGTCACTCTGTTTCGTTCCATTCTCCCTACATGTCCGAACCACCTCAACAACCTCTCCTCAGCCCTCTGGATAATAGTTTTGGTAATCCCGCACCTCCTCCTAACTTCCACACCACATATATATATATATATATATATATATATATATATATATATATATATATAATATATATATATATATATATATATATTAATATATATATATATATGTCGTGCCGAATAGGCAGAACTTGCGATCTTGGCTTAAATAGCAACGCTCATCTTGCCATATAGGACTAGTGAAAATTTCTGTATGCAATAATTTCGCCAAAATCATTCTGAACCTAACGAAAAAAATATATTTGATTGTGTTTGTTTAGTACAAAATTATTGTAAACGTATTTAAAATATATTTAGTTGGGTTAGGCTAAAATAAATTGCTCTTGTTATAATAAGGTTAGGTAAGTTTTCTAAGATTCTTTTGGTGCAAAATTAAATTTTTTTTATATTAACGTTAATGAAAAAATATATATTTAAACGTATAAGTGAAAATTTCAGAAAGGACTTAATTTTAAATGAGTTCTAGCTAATTGACCAGTTTTACATATTCGGCACGACATAATATATATATATAAATATATATATATATATATAATATATATATATATATATATATATATATAATATATAATATATATATATATAATATATAATAATATATATATATATATATATATATATATATATATATATATATATATATATATAATATATATATATATATATATATATATAAAATAATATATATATATATTTTTATTTATTATCACAAGGGCCGATTCCCACCAAGGCAGGGTGGCCCGAAAAAGAAAAACTTTCACCATCATTCATTCCATCACTGTCTTGCCAGAAGGGTGCTTTACACTACAGTTTTTAAACTGCAACATTAACACCCCTCCTTCAGAGTGCAGGCACTGTACTTCCCATCTCCAGGACTCAAGTCCGGCCTGCCGGTTTCCCTGAACCCCTTCATAAATGTTACTTTGCTCACACTCCAACAGCACGTCAAGTATTAAAAACCATTTGTCTCCATTCACTCCTATCAAACACGCTCATGCATACTTGCTGGAAGTCCAAGCCCCTCGCACACAAAACCTCCTTTACCCCCTCTCTCCAACCTTTCCTAGGCCGACCCCTACCCCGCCTTCCTTCCACTACAGACTGATACACTCTTGAAGTCATTCTGTTTCGCTCCATTCTCTCTACATGTCCAAACCACCTCAACAACCCTTCCTCAGCCCTCTGGACAACAGTTTTGGTAATCCCGCACCTCCTCCTAACTTCCAAACTACGAATTCTCTGCATTATATTCACACCACACATTTCCCTCAGACATGACATCTCCACTGCCTCCAGCCTTCTCCTCGCTTTCAAACATTCATCACCCATGCTTCACACCCATATAAGAGCGTTGGTAAAACTATACTCTCATACATTCCCCTCTTTGCCTCCAAGGACAAAGTTCTTTGTCTCCACAGACTCCTAAGTGCACCACTCACTTTTTTTCCCTCATCAATTCTATGATTCACCTCATCTTTCATAGACCCATCCGCTGACACGTCCCTCCCAAATATCTGAATACATTACCCTCCCCTCCTCCCCTCCAATCTGAATTCAATCTTTCACCCCTAATCTTTTTTTTATCCCATAACCTTACTTTTTCCTGTATTTCACCTTTAATTTTCTTTTTTTTGCACACCCTACCAAAATTCATCCCCCAAATCTCTGCAACTTCTTTCAAATCTCCCAAGAGCACGTGTCATCAGCAAAGACAGCTGTGACAACTCCCCTTTTTTTTTGATTCTTTTTTCTTTTAACTGCAGCCCTTGTCAAACCCTCGCATTTTCTTTTCCCACAACCCACAAAAAATATTAAACAAAACCCCGGGACATCACACACCTTGTCTAAGGCCTACTTTTTCTGGGAAATAATTTCCCTCTTTGATACATACTCTAAATTGAGCCTACTATCTTTATAAAAACCTTTACGCTTTTAGTAAACCCACCTCTTATACCATACCTTTCAACTTCCACATTTCCCCCCTACCACCCCGTCATACGCCTTTTCCAAACCTAAATGCCACAAAGACCTCTTTAGCCTTACTAAATACGTTCACTTATATGTTTCACTGTAAACACCGGGCCACACACCCCCACCTTCCCAAACCTCCTTGTTCATTTGCTATCCTATTCTCCGTCTTACTCTTAATTCTTTCAAAAATAACTCTACCATACACTTTACCAGGTATACTCAGCAGACTTATCCCCCTATATTTTTGCACTCTCTTTTATCCCCTTTGCCTTAAATACAAAGGAACTATGCATGCCTCTGCCAATCCCAGGTACCTTACCCTCTTCCATACATTTATTAAATAATTGCACCAACCACTCCAAAACTATATCCCCACCTGCTTTTAACATTTTTTATCTTTATCCCATCAATCCCGGCTGCCTTACCCCCTTTCATTTTACGTACTGCCTCACGAACTTCCCCCACACTCACAACTGGCTCTTCCTCACTCCTACAAGATGTTATTCCTCCTTGCCCTATACACGAAATCACAGCTTCCCTATCTTCATCAACATTTAACAATTCCTCAAAATATTCCCTCCATCTTCCCAATACCTCTAACTCTCCATTTAATAACTCTCCTCTCCTATTTTTAACTGACAAATCCATTTGTTCTCTAGGCTTTCTTAACTTTTAATCTCACTCCAAAACTTTTTCTTATTTTCAACAAAATTTGTTGATAACATCTCACCCACTCTCTCATTTGCTCTCTTTTTACATTGCTTCACCACTCTCTTAACCTCTCCCTTTTTCTCCATATACTCTTCCCTCCTTGCATCACTTCTACTTTGTAAAAACTTCTCATATGCTAATTTTTTGTCCCTTACTACTCTCTTTACATCATCATTCCACCAATCGCTCCTCTTCCCTCCCGCACCCACTTTCCTGTAACCACAAACTTCTGCTGAACACTCTAACACTACATTTTTAAACCTACCCCCTACCTCTTTTGACCCCATTGCCTATGCTCTCATTAGCCCATCTATCCTCCAATAGCTGTTTATATCTTACCCTAACTGC